AGAACTGAAGTGGATTCAACTATAATATACACAGATATTTCACAAATACGGAACAAAGGAGTTCTCAATTTAAATGAAGTAAAATTTTAATCAGTGATATTTTGCAGATTAAATTAATGATGCTAGCTAAACTGGATCGAGTAATTTTATTATTGTTTTGCCTATATCTTAAGTCCAGGCATTGTGACCGTGTTTATGAAGCTCTCTGATTTGTTAGTGTACACGGGCGGCTCTGATTACAAATATGATTTACATACTATTGAAATGGTTTACTTGCAAGTATTTGTTGAGCTATATTTATATTTTTGATTATTTTCAGAATGTGTACCGATGCTCATTAATAAACATTACCTTATTTTAAGGATTCAGTGCTTGTTTTATTTTTCTCATATTACATTACTAGTAGTTTCCCATAGTGATGGGCTGATGATCGATTATCGATTTGCCCTTTCCGATTTCGATTATCGATTACAAACTCCATAATTTATATAATCGGTTTATCATTGAAATTAAAGTGTTAAATATTGTCAATGTAAAATATGCATGTAGAGTAATATTTTCTTATTGATTTTACTATATGAGTGATAAAACTGCATAAAGATTGCTTGAAATTCATTCTTTCTTGAGGAACGAAGCCTATTGTATAGTTAACAACTCTTTCTATTGATGTATTAGTAGTGTTATCACTTCATTCAGATATTGACCCTAAAACTATAAACTGATGGTGAAATTGATCATAGATCCGTTTTCTACTTTCGATTAGAAACCGATTATAATATCGATTACAATTTTAAACCGAATGCCTATCAATAGTATGCCATCATCATATCAATGGTCTTCATCATCATATCAATGGTCTTCATCATCATATCAATGGTCTTCTTCATCATATCAATGGTCTTCATCATCATATCAATGGTCTTCATGCTTGGCCCTGTTACCTTGATGAATGACAGGAGTAAGAAATCACACAACAGTTACCAGAGATATTATCTTCGTTGTTCATTTGAATTTGTTGGTTTAATTTCCAATGCCAATTAAGAAACCACCTACAATAAGAGACCACCTACATTAAGAGACCACCTACATTAAGAGAACACCTACAATAAGAGACCACCTACAATAAGAGACCACCTACATTAAGAGAACACCTACAATAAGAGACCACCTACAATAAGAGACCACCTTCATTAAGAGATCACCTACAATAAGAGATTACCTACATCAAGAGACCACCTACATTAAGAGACAGATTTTTGGACATCCAAGGGGTGGTCTTTATGTCATGTATGCCTGTTTTTTATAACAAGTTCAGCTCAGGAAATATGGAATTCAAATCCATGCTACTTGTGCAAAACATAATTATAAGATGCAACAAAGTCATACTGCAAAACCAGTTTTAAACAAACAACACTAACACTTCCAAATCAATGATATGAGAGGCAAACCTCAAAGTACCATATTTATTGTTGCCATATTACCTGTTTGATTAATGTCGATTATCATCCTTCCCACATACTTTCATACTCCTTGGGGAGTAATATGTATTTTATTGCTTGCGATCACAATGCAGAGACTCAAAAGTACAGTGGTTAGACAAAGGAACTCATTAGTTTCTTTTGCAGTGTGACATGAGGCGAATGGGGCGAAGATTAATAAGGAATTTTGGAGCAGTAGCTGGTCAAATTATTATTTAATAATTTGGAGAGTTAAAATTATTTACCGTTCTCTATATGTTAATTCTTACACATTATACATATGATTTTGTGTAAGAGTTTTCTCCCTTGTTTTTTTGTGTACCATAGTGTTTTAATAATACATCCATTCAATAAGTGGAAACCATTCATAAAGAAAAAAATCATAGTTCTTTGCGTGTAAAACCTTTGGAAGAGGTAAGGTATCATTTATCCTTTAGGCTACACAATATGTCATTGACCTTTTAATATCCAATAGAGTGTAACCTGTGTTACTTTTGCAAAAACCAGACAATTATCCAGTGATATTTCTTATGACGTTAAATGGCTTTTCAAACTGATACATATATATATTTGATCAACTTTACCACATAAATATCTTCATCTTACATTGTATGGAACAAATTAATTGTGCAGGTGGGTAGAATCAGGAGTGCAATCCTGTGTGGTAATTGTTCATTTTGTACATATGATATATTCTGCAAAACAGCTCTGGTGAGGAGCATGAGAGAGCTCTGAACATCCACTGCACGAGGATTGACAAATTCCCAGGGACTTGAGAAATGGCCTGCAGGCTCAGACAAGATGGCGTTTCAACAATTCGGGAAGGACGAGAGCAGTGTTACCAGGGAACTTGGGCAAAGAGGTTATAGGCATTGGTCTACTTTGTCTGCGACATGGGGTTTGGAAAATAGGGGAATAAAGGTGGCAGGAAGGTGGAACACAAGAGAAATGGGAGGGAAAATGAAATGCGGAACATTTGAAAATAATCGATGCATTCGACGAAAAAACTACAGACCAGGAGTAGCTACGTTTCAGCGAACTGAACTTGAGTAGAACAGAAATCAAAGCAATTGGGAACCGTCGGCACTTTCCGGAAAAGGAGAAAGTATTTTCACGTTTACGGAAAGTGTTGAAATCAAAGGTACATACATGAAGGGGGTTCATGAACCAAACATCAGCTACCACTTACGTCAGTGACGCAGGAGTGTCTGCTGACGAAGTCACGGCAGGTCATCATGTTGAGTATCAGCAAATGTGACAAGGTCAGGAGAGTAAGGTCAAGACGCAAACAGGCCGGAAGTGTGATTCGAAACGAACAATTAAGAAAGCTTAAGTAAGACTGAAGCATGGAGACATCGTGGAAACCGAGACAGTAAGGCGTCTATGGCTAAGAGCCACTTCTAGACAGACTTAGATGGAGCAGCAGACATGACCCGGCTAGAAACCACAGCATTGGAAAGGGGACGAGGACCGAATGAGCTGTCTGCACGAACAAACTGATAGTGGGCCACATTGAAAAGCTGTGATAGAGCGGAAATGGACGACATTTCAATGATGAAGAGGTACATGATTTGCATGCATTTGTATAATATAGCAGAAAATGACTGCAAAGTATTCCTGGCAGTAAGGTGCAATACCAGTCAGTAGTAACAAGAGCCGACCAGTTCCTGGCTTTGCATGGTAAACCCAGTCAGCACACCTGACGATTGAAAAGTATTGCATGCTAAAGGTTCCATCCTCGATACTCCAGGGGCAACACTCATTTACGCTCTCTGTACCCCTGGAATATGTTCAAAATTGAGCGTAACTTACCCCTGGAGTATCGAGGATAAAGAGGTTCAAGTGAATGTTGAAGTATTATGCAGTTGACCATCAGCAACTACACAGGCATCATACAACTAATCACAACAGCCTTTAAGATAATATGACGGGAACTACAATGAGAGTTGCTGAAAGACGGTGGATCCTGAGAGACCTGAAAAAGATTGTTCCTTGTGCACGTATGAAACTCAATACAGCTTGTGAGTTTCTTTTGAAGGCAGGCAAGGTAATGAGGGGAAAGCTTAGGATCTGTGAAAGCGACATACCTACTCTTACAGAGAAACCAGTAATGAAGCTTTGTATATGTAACGACAACACCCAAAGTGTGACTCAGGGAAGCCCCAGGACTGGATATGCCAACACGACTTTCTTGGGTGGAAGAACAGTCAGCGGTTATTGAGACGTTGGTTGAACGTATCCGAACTTTAGCGATTTAGGCTTGTACAACTCAGAGATAAATATAAGCTATCACTCAAATAAGTGACAGAATAGTTAAATTTGACCTAGATGCAGAAGGACATGTTGAGGGACACCATAGACGACAAAGCAAGGCCAGGGTACAAAGGTCGAGGCACAGTGAGAATAGTAACGAATGTTGTGAGTGGCAGAGGAATTACGCAAAGGGACATCGTTGAAAATTGTGTCCCCTCTTTAAAAAATGTTCTAGGTCTGTACCTGATGGTACAGTTTAACATGTTTCTCCTTTTCTCGTTGCAGTAGTTATATCTTTGTTTTTTCTTTCTCTGCCAACTGTTCTTTCCATTCCATGACGTCTCAGTTCACACCAGGGACTAGCCTGATGGCAGAATTAAAGGCCGTATGAGAAGACATTTTAGAGGTAATAGGAAGTGGACCTATGTTGTCTGTCAATCACATTGATCGAGTCGAAGAAGTACGTTATTTGATTAATTAGCACACTTCAAACTATGAATATTCCAAGCCCTGTGATGTTCGTTATCGAAATACCTAGTTATCTATCTTGGTACTGTAGTAAAAAAAAAAAACAATCAAAGAAAACCGTACATTGACTTACTACTGTTTTTAAGTCCTGCTAAATGCGGATTTGGGAATTGGCTGTTTAGGTCTGCGTAGCTTAATTATTTGTAGCGGAACTGTGCTGGGTCGACCCACGGCGACCAGGCAGCTTAATTGATTAGAGCGTCTGTCTAGAGCTCTAAGGGGGTTCGATTCCTGATATGGCCGTGTGTTTTTTCATCCTGTTACAGTGGTGTTTGTACGCAACCCTTGTTTCAGTTAGGAATGAACAAATGCTTGACAAGGGATATCCGAATATCGGTTGTTAATATCGTTGTCCTCGGGGGCGACCTCAATTCGTCAATTTGTCTAGCATCCGTCTAGAATTTGGAGATTCCGGATTCGAACCCCGGCCTTGCTTTGCATTTATTCTCTCCTCTTTCATCATAATCAATGAGTTGTAAAAGCATTTTTGAAATGCCATTTCTTTTTTTAAATATCTTAAATCAGTAACTTTATCTGTACTACTCGTGATTAAGACGGGACATATCTGCGTTAGCTTAAATATATTCTAGCTCTTTCCGATCCGCATGAAAAAAAAAGAAAAAAACCCATTGGTGTTTAACATCAAACACGTGGTTAATAACGTGCACCACGTGTCGATTACTATTACGTCACGTGATTAGTTACATGCATCACGTGTCTGTAACCACGACGTCAAAGTTCATTGTCCTCGATGTGAAACCCGCCTAAGGTGTGAGCAATATCTCTGCTCTTTAAACTCTTCAAAAGTTCTTCCTTCTAAATTCAAACAGGTTAGTATTTGTTTTCGTTCTCTTGTGATTCGAACTTAATGCACCACCTGCATTTCTAATAAGCATATGATATGGTGAACAACGCTTCAGGTTAATGAACTAAAGTTTGGTTGTTTATTTCGTATCAAATTTTAGCATTTCTCGTCCTTAGGTACGATGCTATTCTTAACCATTATAACGAGAGTGGTGTACTGGTATATGGATCATAACAATCCCGCCAAGCTTGCGAAACAGGGTAAGCTAATTTATAGTTCACCAGGGAAAGTATGTACAGTAAAATCTGTAAATTTTTGCGAATATTTATTTCCCCAATCGCTTCGAAACCGCGAAATAAAAGATAACATACACTCCCTATATGTATATATACATGAATCTAACTGAACTTTGAGAGATAATTGAATTTGACTCTCCCGCATATCAACGCGAAAATTATGGTAGATATCGAATTTATGCACCTGCTATACATGAGGCAGTTTAGAAGCATTTAGATAACGAAAGGTCAGTTAAATTAGGGTTAAATAGCAATAACTGCAAAAAATGTTATTTTCTGTCAGATGTAGAAAAATAAACTTTTGTTTTCATTTTCAGAAAAAGAATTACAGAAAGTCAAAAGCTGCGTGAAGGTGAGTGACATTTCAGAATCGATGACTGAGCGATCTTACCAATTCCTTGAAATATTACTGCACTTCATACTCCATTTTCGAAGCTATATTTTGATTTATTTTCAGACTGTGAAATTTGCAGAGCCAGAAAAGAAACAGATACTTATTCATACGGCTACAGAAAATAATGTTGAGCTGGTAAGGCCATATCCCAAGTTTTAGTTCACATGGATCTTATGCCACGAAGCAGCCTCCGTCGTCCGTGTGTCGAATATTCTTTTTAAAGGCTACTAGTCAAGAGGGCTTGAGTAACTTTGAGTGAATTTAATTGGACATGGGGGTGTCCCTGGGCTTAGGAAATGTACCGTTGTATATATAAATGAAAGCCGTGGTTCAAATTCTTCTCTGTGTGTAGAAGGGTGGGCTTAAAAGGTGAAGTGGGGTAAATCTAAAAAAGTGAGTACGGCTTCAGTACAGCTGATAGAATCATCCAAGGTCTACGGTCATGTATTGTTGTACGAACGAAGTGCGTTACTCATGGGAACAGAAAGGCGGGGCAGAATAGGGGAAATGAAAATAAATCCTTAAAAGACTACTATCAAAAAGTTCTGTTTCATAAACTAGTATTTTCAACATCATTCGAAATGAAGCATTAATTGTTCAATGGAATTCAGTTTTGTAGAAATGACGGATGTGGTCTCCTTGTGGACACAAGGGCAAGACCCAGTAGTTTTTTTTTAAATATTAACGACGTTATTGATTATGTTCTGTTTTATATATTTAAAATGCATTTAGTGAACGATATGTTCTTGGATATTGGGGGCTGTTTTTTATAAGAAAATGTTGTGGTCATCACTGAAGGCAGATGGGCGGGTCTGATTAAAAGAAATGAGGGCATTGACTTTTTCGACTTCTTCTCCAGCTCCGACAAGTTGATTTTAACAAATGATTATAGCTTTGTTGTCATTACTATTTTTTCTGTTGGATTTTCGAGACCAAATAACATTGTAGATATCATGGCATCTGATTGCCCGATACGTGTTGAAAACGATACCCAGACCCCATGGACCTTTTGTTATAAATTTTGTTATGAATTTGAGCTTGTTGTGATTTATTTTGCTTTGATAGATAGAATTACATTTGTATAGAGCTATTTGAATATTTTTCATTACGTTCATTCGTCTGTTATATTTAAGTTTGTTTGTTTGGTGAAAGAAATTTGTTATGTGTTATCCCAGATTAAAGAAAAACAAAAAGGCGAAATGAATTCGGAGAAGCTGAAGACTGAGTACAAATGTACCGGATGTACAGACGAGGACTCCACCAGGAGGCGCCAATGGGAGAAGAATGAAATTGACTATATGGGACTTGATTCGTTCGATAATATCATGGCCAAACTTGACCAAAGCATGTCTAAATAATTCTTCCGACGTGTGAAATAAGGTATAACTCTCTATATGATTATGTGGGGCACCCCATATATGATGAAGAGTGTGCTATACATGAGGCGCGCCAGAGCCATCTTTATATGTTCGGAGTTTTTGAGAATCAGACTTCGTCGTCACATATTGTGACCAGAACGCAACCATAAAACGAACTAAGCCAAGACGCTTTGAAAAGTATTGCAATCATCCGGAACATAAATACAATCCAAGAAAATTGTAAACGGAAGAGTTTGATAACAATACTTACAATCAGTCTTATATCGCATAACCGGAAGTTATCGGTACCCTCACCAACAGCAATCAAATTAACCAACAGCGAGACCAGAAATATGCAATATTCTATCAACGGCAACCTACACATTCGGTAAAAACACGACCGGAAGTTTTTGTTCAGACGACTGTCAAATTCAACAAGAACTGGAAAAGAAGTGGTCCACACCTTGACAGTTATCCAATTCAACCTTATATCCTAAAACACCAAGCCGCATACATCATGGTATGACTTACCCTGCGTGGCTGTCAAATTAAACAAGAAAAAGGTGACCGGAAGTGACTGATATCTCCCCAACAATTATGTTTAACAATGACCCCCTTCAGACCTTGCATAAGTATCACAGTCAACAACGATAACGCTACCTTACACGGGAATAAACAGGAAGAAAATAAAATACCGAAAAACGAGAAAGTCAGACATATCCCCGGACGTGTACGGTTATACCGCCAGCGCTGTCTGCTGGAAAGGATTTCACAAAGCACTATTTACTATGTGTATTAATAATATATATATTCCAAATGATAGTGATGGTCAATCACCCTGTCTTTCCCTTGTAAACATGATTTTGATATTTATATATATATATATATATGTATCTGATCATCTTGATACATATATTTAATGAGACTCGTGCGGAGAGGGAGATATAACGTATTTGAAACTTTTGTTGTGTCGTTGGCAATATGCCTATTAAACTAAATGAATCCATAGCCTGGACATCAATCAAGCGCTTTGCTGTGTTTTGGCAATATAATATTATTTAGACTTTACTTAACCAACAAAAAACTGGTAAGAAATTAAATTCACCATATCAGAAAAGGTATTTTTTGTCAGTGTAAGACAGTATAACCACTCGTAAGAACGATCTACTGTGTCACATTGTTGTAAGCTGACCTGATACACGGTATACTTCAGTGCCGTGTGTAAGTCAGTATATTTACATTTGCATGGCATTGTCACTATATAGCCTCTTTGAAAGCTGTGTCGTTGATGGGACTTTAATTACCATGCATCACGAGACGCAATTCTTAGCGTATTAATACAACACTGAGCGGAACTACAATATCCAATATAAATAAACATGACGGCTGCTGAAATATCGCTGGGCATTGTGAGATTTGACAATGCCATTGGAAATTTATGTGCAAAATAAAAAATAAAATAAAAAACACTTTTATTACAACGAAAACAAGACCAATGTCTGCAATATCGTACAAAGTGCACATTGGTTGAAATCACCAATGCCGTCAATGGAAACAATTTTAACGCTCATGCAATTTATCAGAAATATCGTCTGTTACACTGCACTGATCAACAGGGGTTCGTTACAAATGTCTGAAATACACATATTATATAGACCTACTGACACATATGTTACAGACCTACTGATATGAGTCACAGCACACATAAACATTTCAGACATTTGTAACAAACCTGTGCTCCGTGGCAAGATCACTCACTTCACACGCTATCTTTCAGGCGTCTCGCATCCACCATTCCTCAGTTTCTGACGACATGTCAAATAACGAGGATGTTATAGAATATACCGACTGTTGTCAGGTTCCCATACAATCAACAAATACATTCACGCATGGATTCTTCAAAAAATGAGCAAAGAGAAAAGTTCGAATTAACTTCCAAAAATAACTCCCTCGTGGAGGGCAAGGTCGGATTTACGGTGTTCACTGTATTTGTCCATGCGCGAAATTTGTTCCGGGG